AAGAAAAAAAAAAAAGAAAATTGGTACCTGGAAAGTAGAAAGGATTCAGGCAGACCCTACAGAGACAATGCTTTTTACCCTAGGCACTAGAGAGGGTTTTCATATCTACTCCTGACTTGGTTCTTTTTCCCCCCTAGAAATTGGTCCACAATGTGCATAACCACATCACCAATGACAAGAGATTCAATGGGTCTGAAAGGTATGGTCTCTTAAGGGAAAAAGACTACAGGTGCTTTGTTGAGAAGAGGGAAGTGGGGGCAGGGAAGACACCACTACAGTGAGGCCAAGGCCGTTACCCTTGGTAGCCTGTATGTATCACACTTAGGAATTTACTTCGGAGTTGATTAGTTTTGGGTATCTCTGTTTCCTTTGGTCCTCCCAAAGCTGTCTGCCTTATTTTTCCTCTGTGACAGCATTAAGTCCTCTTGGAATATTTCAGTAGTGAAATTCCTTTTGGAAAAGCTCAAGCAGGAGCTGATGACCAGTCCCCACAATTACGCTGATAAGGAGCTGAAAGGTAAGCTTCCCACCTGCCCTCTCTCCTAGTCCCCTGTTCTCGGTGAAGGGGGGAGGCACAGAGATGATTTAGATACTACTGAAATAGGGCACGGGGGCCGGAGAGATCCGGGGGCTGGAGAGATGGCTCAGCAGTCAAGAACACTGGCTGCTCTTACAGGGGCCCTGGTTTGGATCCCAGCACCCTCATGGCAGCTAACAACCTTGTGTAACTCCAGTTTCAGGAAATCCAGTGCCCTCTTCTGGCATCCATGGACACAGGTGCACTTTTACATACATACAGGCAAAACATTCATACACAGAAAATAAAAATAAATAATAAATAAAAACTTTAAAAAAGAAAAGATATAGTGCATTGCTGGATGTGGTAGCTCATACCTGCAGTCCCAGTGCTGAAGGCTGAGACAAGAGGATCCCTTCAGGTTCAAGGCCAGCTCCATGGTGAGCTCTAGGCCAGCTTGAGCTACAAAAAAGAAAAGAGCCGGCTATGGTGGCGCACGCCAGTAGGATTTGCTGAAGGAGGCAGAGGCAGGAGGATCTGGAGTTCGAGGCCAGCTTGAGCTACACACTTTTTAGCCGGGCGTGGTGATGCACGTCTTTAATCCCAGCACTCCGGAGGCAGAGGCAGGCAGATCTCTGAGAGTTTGAGGCCAGCTGGGGCTACAGGGAGATCCTGTGTCAAAAAGACCAGAAAAAAAAAAAGAGCATGAATGCATGTTGAAGGCTTTTTTTCCTATTCTCTCCTAGAGTTCGTTTCATTTATTCAAAGGATTACTTCAAATTGCCCTACTCAGTTTGAAAGGAAATGGGAAAAGATAGGACTAGAGAGCCTTCATGCACTGTGCTGCTATAGGGCCTGAATCTGAGCTCAGAAGCCAGCCCTTTACATTTTATTATGTTGGGGCTGGAGAGATGGCTCAGCGGTTAAGAGCACTGACTGCTCTTGCAGAGGACCTGGGTTCGATTCCCAGCACCCACATGGTGGCTACAAACCATCCTTAACTCCAGTTCAGGGGAATCCAATGCCCTCTTCTGACCTCTGAGGCATTGCATGACACGGGTGCTCTCACATACATGCATGCAATACACTCGTACACATAAAATAAAAATAATTTAAAAAATTATTTATTTATTTATTTATTTAATGTGTGCACGAGTATGCATGTACATGCCACAACATGCATGTGGAGGTCAGAGGACAACTTTTGGCAGTTAAGTCTACCCTGTGGGTCCCAGGAATGGAACTCAGGCCATCAGGCTTGGTGGCAAGTGCCTTTACTCACTGAGCCCTCTCGCTGGTCCAGAAGCAAGGCCTTTTGTCACTAAAAACTAGGTCCTGAGTTTCCTACTTTTCCTTACTCTTCTGGTATGTATGCCTATTGTGGAGGTATTCTTTGCAGTGGGAGATGTTTGGGAGGAGGTAGTATTGGAGATGGAGGTGGCAGAGGGTACTAAATCAGAGGCTGAAGCGATGCTGTGGGTATGTCCAAAGCCCATCCCACCTGAATAGTGATTCTAACCTCCCACTGGGTGAGTGGTGTGAGGGCTGGGGACCACTGCTGGGGAAGACCCTGCTTCTTACTGTGCTCCCTCCCTTCCCTCAGGAGCCTGCGTGGCCTACTTCCTGACGAAGAGGCGCGAGTACCGAAACTCCCTGAACCCTTTTAAAGGCCTAAAGGAAAAAGAGGAGAAGAAACTTCGAAGCCGCCGATACCGGGTAGGTCTCTGGGCTTTCCTGTCAAAATGCTAAACCCTGGCCTAAGTCCTAATTAGCCACCGTGTGAAGGGCCAGAGAATATGGCATCTGAGAATAGGGTTGACAGACTGGAAGGCAGGCAGCAGACGGAGGGTGAGCTAATTCTAAAATGTGACTCTGGGACTCAGTGCCCTTCGGCACAATTTTACACTGCTTTTCTCCCTATGTAAACCCTTTCGTCACATCTATAGTCTTGTCTCTCTTCCTAATCTCTGTTCTGGGGTCCTGCCATAGCTTTTTGCCAACCGATCCAGTATCATGAGGCACTTTGGACCTGAGGACCAACGCCTGTGGAAGGATGTGACAGAAGAACTGATGTCAGATGAGGAGGACAGTCTTAATGAGCCAGGTGTGTGGGTGGCCCGCTCTCCCCGTTTCAGGGCCCAGCGCCTTACCGAGCTCTGCTACCACCTGGATGCTAACTCTAAGCATGGCACCAAAGCCAACCGTGTATATGGGCCTCCCTCAGACAGACTGCCTTCTGCTGAAGCCCAACTCCTTCCACCCGAACTTTACAATCCTAATTTCCAAGAAGAGGAAGAGGAGGGAGGCAATGAGAATGGACCTATCTCTCCATCTTTCGACCAGCCCCATAAGACCTGCTGTCCTGACTTGAACTCATTCATTGAAGTCAAGGTGGAGAAGGATGAGTAAAGTATCAAGAATAACTCTGGCTCCTGCCACTCCCCATGTCCCAGAAATGGATGGCTCAGAATGATGAGATGCCTTCTGCAGTCTGAAAAAGCAAATCTCTTCACACAGTTTCTGATTGAATCTGGAAGCTTCCATGGGCTTACATAGAAGGCACAGGAGGGAGTGGGTTCCCCCACTGAATGCAAGCCAGAAAATGCTTATTCCTAAGCATAAACAGTGCCTCGGAGGAGCCGGGGATGAAAAAGAAGGATGTGTCAAAGAAACACGAGGCCTTGATATATGTCCCTGTCTCTGACTCTGTGTGTGTGTGCATGTGTGTGTGCGTGTGCGTGTGTGTGTGTCCCGTTTCACCCAAAGCTCAGGAGTAGCAGTGCCTGTTGTACCTTTTGCTTCCCCATGACTGCAGGACAGCCTTGCTCTGCAGTGGATATTGAACTGAACAGGCCAAGGTAATACTGCCACCTGGTGGGAAGTTTCAGTCATGGGCTTGACTCTTCTGAGCAACGTAGGCTTATCACTATTTGGAATTGGGATCTATGTATTATGAATATTGTTTTGTTTTGTTAATGATAGTTGTTTGTTGGATTATATAAGGAAATTTTTTATTATCCATATCTTACAAATGAGGAAATTAAAGTTTAAAAATTTCCCAGGTTGCTGGACATGGTGACTCACACTTGTAATCCCAGCAGTTAAGAGGCTAAGGTAGGAGGATTGCTGTGGGTCAAGGCTCCCCTGGGCTACATAGTGAGTTCCAGGCCAGCCTGGGTTACAGAGTGAGACTCTGTCTCAAAAAACAAAACAAATGGGGCTGGAGAGTCAGCTCATCAGTTAAGAGCACTGCTGCTCTTGCAGAAGTCCTGTGTTCGATTCCCAGCACCCACAGTGGCAGCTCATAAATGTAATTCCCATTTGACACCCTCTTCTGGCATCTGCAGGCATTGCATACAAAGTGGTGCATTTACATATATGCAGGCAAACCACTCATACACATAAAATAAAAATAAATAAATAGGGGCTAGAGAGATGAGTCAGTGCTTAAGAGCACTGGCTGCTCTTCCAAAGGGCCTGGGTTCAGTTCTTAGCATCCACATGGCAACTAACAATCATCCATAACACCAGTTCCAGGGGATCTGACATGCTTTCCTGGTCTCTGCAGGTTTGTGCACATGTGGTACACTTATACATAATGCAGGCAAAACACTCATACACATAAAATAAAATTTTTAAATGAAATAAAACAAGTGCTGGTTTTGTCAGCACATATGCTAAAATGCAAACTTGTTTTATATTCATGTAGTCATACGATAAATATTACAACTGGGTGTAATGGCCCATGCTTGTTATTTCCAGAATCAGGGAGGCTGAAGCACTGGAGGTTCACAAGTTTGAGGTCATCCTGGGCTACCAAGTGACTCTGTCTCAGGAAAAAAAACAACCAAACAGGGTTGGACATAGTAGTACACCTCCCTGAAATCCTAGTACTGGGAAGATAAAGGCAGGAGTATCAGGAGTTCAAGGTCACCCTCAGCTACACAGTGAGTTTGAGACCAACCTGGGCTACATGAGACCTTGTCTCCAAACAACAGCAAACTGACTCCTTAGTAGGTGTCATGCACTGTGCTAGGTGCTAGGAACAAAATATTGGTAAGTCCAGATGATTAGGGGATTAAATTTTGGTTTTATGTGTATGAATATTTTACCTACATGTATGTAAGTGTACCATGTGCTTGCAATGCCCATGGAAGCAGAAAAGGGCATCAGATTCCCTGGAACTGAAGTTACAGGCAGTTGTTAGACACCATGTGGGTGCTGGGAACTGAACCTGTGTCCTCTGCAAGAGCAGCCAGTGCTCTTAACCATTGAGCCATCTCTTCAGCTCCCCTGATTAGGTTTTATTGTATAGTAAGGAAGCCTGGTGATTGAATAGGCAATTAAATGAACTGTGGTAAGGGTGACCATGGACGACTGCAGAGTGCAATGACAGTGTATGGCTGGCATAGCTAACCTACCCTAGTTGGGAAAGGCTTCTCAGAGTCAGTGGTGTTTAAACTAATACCTGAGCTGGGCGTGGTGGCACACGCCTTTAGTCCCAGTACTTGGGAGGCAGAGGCAGGCAGATCTTGGCGAGTTTGAAGCCAGCCTGGCCTACATAGGGAGTTCTAGGCCAGCTGGGGCTATAGGAAGTCAAAAAGACAAAAACAAGCAAACAACAAAAAAAAAAACCCACTAATACCTGAAAAACAGGGAGGTATTAACCAGAAGGGCAAAGGCCAGGGGAATGCTCCAGAGAACAGCAGGTACAAAAGGCAGGAGGCAAGAGAGTACAGGCAAGGTTCACGTCTACTGCAGACCAAATGGGGACAGTACAATGCTGAGAGAAGAAGCTGGAGTTACAGACAGACCTTTATAAAATACTTAGAAGAGGGCTAGAGAGATGGCTCAGCAGTTAAGAGCACTGGCTGCTTTTGCAGAGGACCAGGGTTCGATTCCCATCACCCACATGGCAGTTAACAACTGTCCATAACTCCAGATCTGTAACAACACCCTCTTCTGACCTCCGCAGGCACTGCACAACATGGGTACACTTACATGCATGCAGGCAATACACTCATACACATAAGATTTAAAATAATAATAATAAAGAGTATAGACAGCAGAAGGGCAGTGACACAGCACTGAGAGGGGTTAGTTAGTTTGGAGATGGGGTCTCATGTAGCCCAGTAACCCACCATGTAACTAATGATAACCTTGAATTTTTTTTTTTTTTGCTTTGTTTTGTTTTTGTCTTTTGAGACAGAGTCTCAAAGACCAGGTTGGCCTCAGTCTCACAGAGACTGGCCTCTGCCTCCCAAGTGCTGGGATTAAAGGCATGCACCACCAGGCTGGGTTTTTGTTTTTAAGATTTATTTATTTTGTGGGGGGGCTGGAGGGATGGCTCAACAGTTAAAGAACACTTGTTGCTCTTGCAGAAGAGGACTGGGGTTTGGTTCCCAATATCCACATAGCTGGTAACAACCATCTGAAACTCCAGTTCCAGGGATCCAACACCTTCATCTGGCCTCTGCAGGTATTTCATGTGCATGGTGCACTTATATACATGCAGGCAAAACACTCACATAAAAGTAAATTAAAAACTTTAAAAAAAAAAGATCACTTGGTCTAAGATGGCTTAGGGGGAAAAATAAATATTTAGCTGGGCATGTTGGCACACACTTTTAATCCCAGTGCTCAGGAGGCAGAGGCAGGCAGATCTCTGTGAGTTCAAGGCCAGCCCGGTTTACATAGCAAGTTCCAGGCCAGTTGGGCTACAGGAAAAAAAAAGAAAAGAAAAAGAAAAAGAGAACAAAAGAAAATGGCTTAGGGGAAGCTGGCCTTGACCAGAGACACCTGTATTTAAGAGAGGACTCACAATATAGTGGTGATGAGGAGAGAAAGACTGATATTTGGGAAGCAGAATTGATAATAACTTGATTTACAGGATTTCGTTAGGTTTTAGGTTCAGTGAGAAGGAGAAAATAGGGTAGAGCTTAGGTTTCTGATTTAAGCAACTAATAGTTGATGGTCTGCTTGCTCAGTGAATCCTTAAAAGAGCCAGTTTTAGGAGGCAAGAGACATGAGCTCAGCTTAAGGTATTGGCTGCCTCCGAGGCTAACAAGTAGAGAAATTGGTAGTGATCAGTAAGATTTTGTTGTTTTAATTTAGGTTTTTTTTCCCCCAAAGAGTGAATTTTGGGTCTAGTAAGCAAGCACTCCACCGCTAAGCTATATTCCTGCCCTTTTTACTTTTTCTTTTGAGACAAGGGCTCATTAATGTTGCTCAGGAAGGCCTTGAACTTGGGATCCTCCTGCCTCAGCCTCCCACATATCTGGGACTACAAGCACCGGTCATTGCACCTAGCTAGTCATTTGAGTTTTTAAGTGTAAAAGTCTAGGCTAGAGACATGGATTAGGAAGTCAGCTATAGTATATGTAGATTGTAATTAAAGTCTTGGAGATTAAGAAGGTCTGTGGGAAGCCATGCCTGGTGGCACATGCCTGTAATCCTAGTACTGAGGAGGCAGCGGTAGAAGGATTTTTGAGTTAGAGGCCAGCCTGAGCTACAACTAGATCCGGTTTCAAAAAAACAAAAAATAAAAGGGCCAGTGCAATGACTTACTGGGTAAAGGCTCTGCTGCCAAGCCTGACAACCTGAGGCACTTGGTGGAAGGAGAGAACCAACTCTGTCCTCTGGTTTCCACACCAGCACCAAGATGATCACATACCCATGTACGCACACACATCCCACAGAGAGTAAAGAAATAAGGGTCATAAAATATAAGAAAGTCTAAGGATCTCCCAGCACCAGTTTAGACAGGTGGTGCCCTGAGGTGGTGGGCAGTACTGCAGCATGCCCTACCGACTTCCTGTTATCCACTGTAAAAGGCTGTCCATCTCAGCTGTGTCCACTGTTGCCACCACCAACTTCTGGGTGTTTTTTTTTAGTAGCTTCTTGACTTTTCATAAGACGTACTCTTTCAACTTCATCCCATGGAACCAAAACTTCCAAATGTTGGAGGCTGTGCAGATAGTTCAGATGTAATTGGAAGAACATGGATTCTCCTTCCATCTGGAGTCAGGAGGGAGACCATCATGGTCATGTTGAAGATGTTGCTCACAACAGGGTCTAGATGCAACCTGACTGCTCACCTCATTATTAGTGCTTCCAGTCTGGGAGGAAACTCCTCAGAAAAGCTTTAGGCTTGACCAGAGACAGGCTGATTCTCTGGAGAGAGAACTTCTGGAAGAAAATACAACTTGGACAACAAGCCAGTTAATTTCCCCAAAGATATTAATCTTTGCTTCTCCATTTTCTGTTTTTGTTTTTGTTTTTTTTTTTTTTTTACTTTATTTTTTGTGAGAGAGGCTTATGAAGCCCAGGCTGGCCTGGAACTCACTATTTAACCCAGACTGACCTCAAACTATCCATTCTCCTGCCTCAGACTTCTGAGAGCTCTGATTACAGGTGTACAACACTGTGCCTGGGTTTTCTTCCCCATTTCCTAAGGTTATATATATACTAAATTCTAAAAGGTATTCAAAATGGGCCGGGCATGGTGATGCACACCTTTAATCCCAGCACTCGGGAGGTAGAGGCAGGCGGATCTGTGTGAGTTCAAGGCCAGCCTGGTCTACATAGTGAGTTCTAGGCCAGCTGGGGCTACAGGGAGATCCTGTCTCAAAAAGACCAAAA